AAAACACTCATCTTTCAAATCTTAGATTCTCTCTCACCTTTCCCAAAATGCTTTCCACGCTTTGGAGACAGAATCAAGCATTCCTTTCTATATAGCCTCCCCGACTTAGTGCTTCATCATCATCATCATCAAGAAATGTATTGAGAGCTCAATCTGCATCTTGCTTAATGCTAAGCCCACGGGATACATTTATTTTTTCTTCAGAGTAGCTATCACACTCAAATGGCTGTCGGCATAACTGTCTGCTTAATGCCTATTTCTTTTCTAGACAGAAAGTTCCCAGAAGGGCAGGCACTGTTACTGCCTGTTTTATGACTATCTCTACAGCCTCAGCACAGCTCCCGGTACACAGTAGATGCTTAAAAATATCTGACAATAGGCCAGGCGTGCTGGCTCACGCCTGTAATCCCAGCACTTTGGGAGGCCGAGGTGGGCAGATCACAAGGTCAGGAGATCAAGACCATCTTGGCCAACTGTCTCTGCTAAAATACAAAAAATTAGCCAGGTGTGGTGGTGCAGGCCTGCAGTCCCAGCTACTCGGGAGGCTGAGGCAGGGGAATCGCTTGAACCGGGAGACAGAGGTTGCAGTGAGCCAAGACTGCACCACTGTATTCCAGCCTGGGAGACAGAGACTCTGTCTCAAAAAAAAAAAAAAAAAATCTGACAATAACAAGTGCTAGTGAGGATGTGAGGGTAACTGTAAATCTCACGTATTGCTGGTAGGAAAGCAAAATGGTACAGAAATTTTGGAAAATAATTTGACTANAAAAAAAAAAAAAAAAAAAATCTGACAATAAATACAGTCATTATTTCAGTGAACTGTCACAATAATCCAATTAGTTTGGCACAATTACTAATGCGAGTTTACACCTGAGGACACTGCCGCATAGGGCAGTTAAGTTAGTGGTTTAAGTGAAGAGGCGGGGGTTGGAACCTGGGTGGTATGCCTCCACAGCCCATGTGCTAAACCTCTGCACCACCCCGAATTTCCACACCCCTTTACTTCTGGTTGCCAGAATGAATATTTTTGTCCTCTTGTTCTCTCACAGTCCCTGGGAAGAGCCTGGTCTCTACTCTGGGAGAACAAAAATTTCCTCATGGCAACAGCAAGAGCTGCCTATATGACAATTAAAATCAGTGGTTGTATTAGCCGCTTTACCACCTCCAAAATTAGCAGAAAAGGCCAACTTGAGCTTTCATTGTACAGCTCTGCTGATGAAGGGATCCTTTTAATTACATACTCAGTGCCTATCTGCAACACAAAGCATTTTGGTGTTTAAACACAGTTGTGCACCAAAGTATAGGCTTATGTGAATACAGACAATACGAGGCAGGGAACCATGTGTAAAAGTTATTCTTTGCCTAGGCTGTAATTTCTTTTTGGCATTCGGTTTCATCTAAACCCAGTTCATTTTCCATGGTCATCCTAATTCTCTTCTATATACTGAGCACCCGATGAGCCCTTATTCAGTAACTCTGTAAGCATATCCCAGGTCAGATACTCCTCCTTCAGATTGCAGATGAAATCTGCACACTTTGTTAATTTCGCTCATCACGGACTGATTTGCCTTGAGGGCTCTCCCCCCTTACCTGCGCTGGCGCATCGGTCAATTCCTGCAGTACAGGTGTTGAACCAGCTTCACTCAGCATCATGCCAGGGGCTCATGGCATTTGTATCCCACTTTCCAAAGCACTTTTTGCATGCTATTCTGTATGGGATTTGCACTGAGGTGAGTGAGGCCTTATGGGGCTGATCCCACAGACCTTTCTCAGACAAGGGTATCCTGACTTTGCATTTGTATTTGGTTGGGGGAAAAGGGAGTCCCTCTTAGTAAGCTCCACCTATGGGTCACAGACTCTAACAGGCATTCATTACCCTGGTTAAGCCACACAGAGACCTTAAGATGCAGATATTAAGATGTACCTTCAGAGCCAGAATGCCTAGGTTGGAATCCTGTTCCTGTTCCCAACTAGCTGGTTATCTTTGAAAAGTCTCTTATCCTGCTCGTGCCCTGATGTCGTCATCTTATAATAGGGATACTAATTCTCCCTATGTCCCAGCATTGTTGTGAGAATTAAGTGGGCTAATCCCTTCAGAGCCATACCTGGAATGTGGCAAGCACTCAGTAAGTGTTAGCTGCCATGGCTGAACAAACCAAGGTAAGCTCAGGTTAAATATAGCACTCAAGGTCACATGCCTCCCAAACAGTATCAGCTGGTAACCAGGACCTGCCTGACGCTTAAGACCCTATACTTTCTAGGCTTTCAGGGAAGCTAGGCCGAGGGGGCTTACTGCTGGTCCACTCCTTGGAGACTGTAGTCAGCGCCCTGGCCTGGCAGAGCATGGCCAAAAGACAGTCCTTCCATGTGCATGGTCCCCATCTGGCCGCAGCACGAGCATACTGGCTTCTGCTTCCACTGCCCACATGCTGTTCTCTCAAGGATGACCATGTACCTCCTAATTGCCACCAATCTTCCCCCCCACCCCTTTTTTTTTTTTTGAGATGGAGTTTTTCTCTTGTTGCCCAGGCTGGAGTACAATGGCGCAATCTTGGCTCACTGCAATCTCTGCCTCCTGGGTTCAAGCAATTCTCCTGCCTCAGCCTCCCAAGTAGCTGGGACTACAGGCATGCACCACCACACCCGGCTAATTTAGTATTTTTAGTAGAGACGGGGTTTCTCCATGTTGGTCAGGCTGGTCTCAAACTCCTGACCTCAGGTGATCCACCCACCTTGGCCTCCCAAAATGCTTGAATTGATTACAGGTGTGAGCCGCCGCCCCCGGCCCCACCACTGACCTTCTTAATCTCTCCTCAATCTTGCTTGTTCACAGCATTTGATGCACCTGAACACTGTCTTCCTGACCCTCACATTTCCCGGCTCCTGCACCCATGCACTCTCCGTGGTGTTTTTCCAGCCTCTATTTTTCCTCCTCTAGGACCCTCAGTGGTAGTTGGTGTCCTAAAGCCCCTGTCCTTGACCTGCTCTCTGCCCACAGTATTCCTGGGTGATTGTAATCACACATACGATGGTTCCCAGGCCTGTACCTCGTGCCACCTCTCTGTCTGGGATGCCTCTGTCCTGCCCACCCCTTCACGACAGGCAGGTCCAAATCCTGCTCATCCTTCCCCGCTCACTCTAGAAGCCAGCCCACAGCCTTCTCGGATCCCTCCCACTCAGAAATACTCTCTTTCCGATTCCCACAGTACTTCATTGCGGAATTTATCATTTTCTAAATTTATATCACAGTCATTTAAGTTTGTGGCTTCTTTTTCCTGATAGACTATGAGTTTGCCAGAAATAGAATCCATTTTTGTTCCTCTGGCAAAACTGTACATCTAATAGGTGATACAAAAAAGACAGGCTGACACATGACTGTGTAAGTAAAGTATTTCTTAAGACAGAGAACATGAAGAATTTGGGATAATTTTGCCTGAAGACAAGAAAATGGGCAGGGTGACCTCTGGGTGTCACTTTCAGCTTACGGGTCTATAAACCCATCTTTAGGGTTAAAAATGCCACATTAATAATTTATGGTGATGAGAATAACAGGCATGCTGGTTCTACTCCTTACCAATTGTGTGGCCTTAGGAAAGTGGCATCAACACTCAGCCTCTGCTTCTCTTCTGCAAAATGGACGATAGAACCCACCCTCCAGAGGTGTTGAGAGATGAGATGGGCTGGCATAAACAAGAGGCTGGCACCTTGGTTGGAACGTCATATGTACAAAAGAAATGATAGCTGTTATATGACTCCTTTGACATATATTTATTGAGTACCTACTCTGCAGCCAGGGATGTTGGGTCAACCCAAGCCCAGCCTCTTCCAGAAGATTTCTTGGCCTCTGTTGACTCATAACTTTCTTTCCTCAAAGAATTTTGGTCCTATCAAGATTAGATTTTTTAAATAATTCGATTAATAAATTAGGCATGCCTATTAGCAATCAGGTCCAGAGAGAAAGTCCTAACTTTTTTCTTGATGCAATTTGAATTCCCAAACAAAGAGTTGTTGTCAAAATCCATTTAAGTATTTAATTTCTCTTGTCACTGCACAATCCCCCAAGCAGACATCCAGACAATTTGCAGTGGTGTTTCTCACAGAAGTACTAAACGTTTAGTTATCAAGGTACATTTTTTAGATGATGCCTCCCTGATGGCTCTGGAGACTCTAGAGAGACTGTGTAAGTTCAAGTGCAAGGTTAAGGCAGGCAGCCGAGTGGCAAGAATTGCAGGGAGGATGAATCACGCAGGCCTGGGCTTCAGCTCTGACACTGCCACTTCCTGGCTGACTGACCTTGGGGAAGGTACTTAACCTCACTGAGCGTCAGTTTCCTCATTTGCAAAGCGGTGACGGCACCAAACCCACGGGGCTTTAGTGAGCACAAAGTGGAATACCAAATGTAAAGAACATAGGAGCATGCTGACGCATCACTGGTCCTTGATACCAGACGGCTTAAAAATCTCGGAGATTTGCAGATACACAGACGGGTCTAGAGGCTGCCGTCCCCCTCCCCCTCCCAGAGGGACAGCCCTAAGGAGCAGTGTGTTTTTGGCGACACAATGACTAGACCCACTGGGTCCCGACTCTTCACAGCAGCCTCTCCCAACACCCATTCAAATCAATTATTACCCCACTTGACCGACTCACCCGGTGGGAGCCAAAGGTTTCCATACCAACAGGAATATGGTGGGCATCCCAACCCCCAAGAAAGAAAACAAAAGCGACTCTTTTAGTTTCCCTACTAACAAGCATGGAGCTGAAGTCAGAGCTGTCTCTTTCTCAGTTGTCATGGCAACACCTACTGACCTACCCCGTCCTGCCAAACACACACGTCTCAGAGAGAGGGCAGGGGGAATGTGTGGGAGGTGGTGGTCGAGGGATGAGGGGTGGGAGAAACGCTCCACAGTGCTAGGGAGAGAAGTACAAGAACACCTGCTTTTCCAAAAAAAAAAAAAAAAAAAAACCCACTGGCAAATGTACATCTCTTGCCGGGGAATGGGGAAATTCCAGTTTTTACTGTGTCATTCCTTTGGCGATTATGTACAAATTTAGAGTCTATTCAAAATGCCAGTTCAAACCAGAAGAGGGAACAATTATTATTTCCTCAGCTATGACACAGAAACGGGGGCGCTTCACTTGCACCTCTCCTGCCCTGCTCAGCATTTGGGGGACTGGGGTTGATGCCACTGTCTGCTGCCTCTCGCACAATCGACAGGGTGATTTCCCCTTCCTGACCTAATGCAGCCTCAGCAGCAGCTTGGGAAGAACAAAGCAATGTGCCCACTCTGCAGGCAGGAAAACTGAGTGCTGTGACCACGAACTCATGAGTACCCACTTCTGTTTTCTGTTTCCTAGTTTGCTCTCTGCCCCCAGAAATCTCCACCCAGGACAACACTTGAATTTGCCCAAATGGGATTCATTATTTCCCACACTCTCAGTCTGCATGTAGCTTTGAAGAGTCATTTTTCTGGCAGTCCAACACCTGCCAGAAAAATCCACCCAGATAACCCACTTGCACCTCAGTAATCCAATGCTCCAGGTTGAACATAATACGTCCCCCAGAACCTGCTTCTTGCTATTTCCATGTTGTTACCGGCAACTTCATCTCCCCCAGTGAGCCAAGCTCCAAACCCTGAAGTGAGCTTTGCATTCTCCCTCTTCCTCAGCCTGGTTTCTGGGGACTTGTACAGAAGTCTTTCACTGTCCCTTTTCCATTTGGAGGCTCTGATTCAAATATTCTAGGGCGTTCTAGCAGGTGGAAAGCAGTGAGCAGTGGCTAACCACAAAGGCTGTGGGGTCAGGATGCCGGGGCCCTCACTGCTTGTACACCTGTGTGCTAAGCACATCCTCTCACTTGATTCTCACCACAACACTTTGAGGTTAGGGTTCTTCTTCATATGATTCCCAGTTTCCACAAGAGACTGTTTCCCTATGAGACACGGAAAACTGATGTAGTTTTCCCAAGGTCATCCAGCTTGGAAGTGGCAAAGCCAGCTTATGAATCTGGATTGGCTTGACTCAAAACTCTCACCCTGAACCAATATGCATAGCTCCTTCGCACCCAGCCACAAATTTTTCTTTCTTTCTTTTCTTTCCTTTTCTTTCTTTGAGACAGGGTCTCACCCTGTTGCATGTGCTGGAGTGCAATGGTGTGATCATGGCTCATGGCAGCCTCAAAATCCTGGCCTCAAGCAATCCTCTTGCCTCAGCCTCCCAAGTAGCTGGGACTACAGGTGCGCGTGCACTCCTGGCTAGTTTTGGTATCTTTAGTAGAGACAGAGTTTCTCTATGTTGCCCAGGCTGGTTTCTAACTCCGAGGCTTAAGCAAACCTTCTGCCTTGGACTCCCAAAGTGCTGGGATTATAGGCATGAGCCACCGTGCCCAGCCTGTAACTTTCTTAAGAACAAGGCTCATCACTTCATGTTTCTATCTCAGCGCTGACACCAGGGCCTGCCTCGCAGTGCCGGATGAGTGCCACCTCATCAAAGCTCCACACACTGTCTCAGCTCGGAGCTGACTAGCCTGGGTTCCACTCCCTACTGAGACCCTTTCTCCATATGTGACTTTGGGGAAACCATTAGATAACAGCTGGAAGGCAGCAGTAGGCCGAACACTGTCCCCCAGAAGATATGAGCAAGTCCTAACCCCTGAAACCTGTGAATGTCATCTTGTTTTGGAAAAAAAAGAGTCTTTGCTGATATCATTAAGGATCTCAAGACCATTCTGGATTTAGAGAGGGAACTAAATCTAGGGACAGGTGTTCTTATAAGAGAGATGCAGAGGAGAGTTGATGCAGACACACACAGAGGAGAGGCCATGGGAAGCCAAGGCAGAGGCTGGAGTCACGCTACTATAGCCAAGAGCTACCAAATGCTGGAAGAGACAAAGAAGGATTCTCCTCTAGAGCTTTGGAGGGGGCATGGCCTTGCAGATGCCCTGGTCTCAGATTTCTGGCTTACAGCAATGTGAAAGAAGACATTTCTGTTGTTCTAAGTCTGGCAGTTTGAGCTAACTTGTTAGGCAGACCTAGGAAACTGATGTAAAAGCCCAGTGTCCTTATCTCTGACTGGGGTGCCCTTGGGGGTTACTGTGAGATAATGTAGCTGGAAGCAACTAGAAGAGTGCCTAGTGCACAGTAGGCCCTTCAATAGATGCTAGCTGAACAGCGCTAAAACATCCTGAGCACTAAAACAGCTTGGAAACTTCTTTCCCAAGGCACACCTGGCTGACTGCCTCTTTCTACATTCTCACGCTTGTAAAATGTTTAACTTCAGAACCCACGAGCAAGAAGGAAGAGCCACAGGGAGTATCTCCTCTGAGCCCAGCTGTGTGGAATGAGCAGGCAGCCAGCAGAGATGCTGGTGTCCTTGCGAAGCTGGTAAGTGCTGGCCCAACTCCAGCCCAAGAAGACGAGCCTGTCATGGTGGGTTTCACAAAACATCTGTTTCAGGAACAAGCCTGTTGTTTCAGGCAAGCTCTAGAGATAATAGTATGTTTTTCCTATACACAGCCATGACATGTTCACTGAAGCTGAATATCTCTAAATGTGACCAATTTCTTAAGTGGCAGAAGCCCATCAAACTCTTTGAGAACAAATATGGTATGCAGTCAGCCCAAGCAGCTTCCTTTGCTGCCGCTAAAGCAGCACTCACGCTGGCTTGGAGGGAGGCGGTCAGAGTGGGAGTGGGTAGCAGTGGCGATTTCTCTGATGTTGGTCCCTCTGAAGGCTATGCTTAAGTCTGCAAGGGAGTCAGGTCCCCAGGCTTCATGCATATGGATGGCAGTGGTGGCTGCATGATAACCTGCAATTTCTCTTCCCCACGTTAATCGACTTGGGTTGGCGACCGAGAATTTGACTAGACAACGCAATGGCAGTGCACATACCAATGATCCCAGGATCTCAGCACAGCTCTGCCGGCTTCAACTCAATTCTGGCCTGAGATAAGAAAGCACTAGCGTGGCGTCCCACGTGAGATGAGCCGACCGTGCCTTGGCATGAGATAGAGAGACAGCCAGAAGGCTGACCACAGCGAGGAGATCCGGGACACTTTCCCACAGGCGAGGGGAAACTTGGGCCCATGAAGCACATGCTGCAAGATCCCCCACGGAGAAATGCCTCCCCCACAGGAAGCACAGAAAGGCTGTACCCCGCCTTCCTCCCACGGGAGGAGTGGGATGTGAGCTCCTTCCCTCGGCACACAGATCAAGCCTGGAATACGTCTGGTGTCTGATGTGCTGCTTGGGAGTCAGGCCTGAACTGCTTGAGGGGCCCCAGGCAGCCCCAGCACCCAGTAGGGGTCTGGGGTGACTCAGCTTCCTGGCCCCGGGAGCCCAGTTAGCCCGAAGCTTCCCTGGCTATTGGAGCCTCCACTCTTAATCTCTCTTTTCACCCAGGTGGGCCACTGGCCTGCAGCCTTGGCTTAGGTCCCTTCTTCATTTCTTGGTCCTATCCCCCTCTCCTTTCTCACCAGACTGCTGCTGGGATCCCCGGATGCCACAGGGTCAAGCCCATCCTGGCTGACCAAGAAGGTTCCAAGGCCAAGTCTAGGTAGCTCAGAAGGCAGTGGCTCTGGTATGACCTCCTGCAATGATCCTGTGCCCTGCCAACTGCTCCCAGAGGGCACTGACCAAAGAGTCAACACATTTAGAGAGGAAATAACTTCAAGCCATAGAGACCAGCAAGTTCAATGTCCTCATTCTGCATGTAGACAAGTTCTGGAGATGGGAGGTGTGGCTTGTCCAAGGTTTCCTGGCACTTAGGTTTTAGGGCTCAGGAAGGAATCCAGGTTTCTGCACTCCTAGTGTACTTTGCTGTGACAATGTCCTTGGCTCTACTTTGAGCCAGTATCAGCTCTTTGCAGACAGGGGCTGTGTCTGACTCATTTCTGACTCTCCAGCAACAGCATGGGGCCAGGTCCGGAGCAGGAATCAGTCAATGTTACTTAGACTTGGCTGAATCAGTCCCCTTTGTAAAGCGAATAAATCAGACACAGACACATTACTGAAGCCAGCGCAAAGGTATGACTTCAGGATCTTCAAATACCTCAACTACGAGCAGGGAGGTGCTATTTCTACCTATAAAATGGCATGGAAGTAGAAAAAGATGTCATGTTACTATGTGACTTTTTCCTTGCATAACTGTGATCCTGTATCCACACAGCAATAGCCACTATGGTCTGGAGGCTGTGGCTGACACCCAGACACTGCACGGGGGGCCTGAGACACAGGTCCAATTGAGTCCTGCTCTCAACCCTGCCAGGCAGGAACTACCAGCCCAGAAGGCTCCTGATAATAGGTGGAAACTGAGGCTTAGGCCGGTTCAGTGCTTTGCCCAAGAGCACATAGCTCCCAAGTGCTAGAGCATGGACTTCAGTCCAGGTCCATGCTGTTTTACCTGAATTGGGCAGTTCTGTCATGAGGACAGTAATAACTAACACATTGTGAGTTTACTCCTCTGTAGCAGGCAGGTTAGGTGCATGGATTCATTTAATTCCCACAGCAACCCTATGAGGCATTACTACTTTACAAATGAGGAAAAATAGGCCCAGAGAAGTGAAGTAATTTTACCTAGTAATTCCAAGCCAGCCTAGAAGACAGGGAGTACTGAGAGACAGAGCAAGCTCAGAATAAGAGGCGGGGGTGCATAGGAGCTCTGGCTTTGGGCTGGATTTGCCAGCTGTGTGATTTGGGGCAAATTACTTGAAATACTTTTTTAATTTTTGGAAAATCGATATAACATACAATTTACCATTTTAACTATTCGAAGTGCATGATCCGCATCACACACATGCATTGTTGTGCAGCCGTCACCACGTTCCATCTCCAGAACTTTTCTCATCTTCCTCCACGAAACTCTGTCCTATCACACAATAACCCTCGACGACTCCACATCACCCCCAGCAACCACCACTCTACTTTCTGACTCTATGAATTTGACTACTCTAGATGCTTCCTAAAAGTGGAATCACGGCCAGGCGCAGCGGCTCACGCCTGTAACCCCAGCACTTTGAGAGGCCAAGGTGGGTGGATCACAAGGTCAGGAGTTCGAGACCAGCCTGGCCAAGATGGTGAAACCCCGTCTCTACTAAAAATACAAAAATTAGCCAGGCGTGAGGGCTCACACCTGTAATCTCAGCTAGGCAGGAGAATCACTTGAACCCGGGAGGCGGAGGTTGCAGTGAGCCAAGATCGTGCCACTGCACTCCAGCCTGGGCAACAGAGCAAGACTCTGTATTAGGGAGGGGTTGGGAAGGGGGAATCATACAGTGTTTGTCCTTCTGTGTATCTAGCTTGTTTCACTTAGCATAATGTCTTAAGGGTTCATCCATGCTATAGCACATGTCAGAATACCCTTCCTTTTAAAGGCTGAATCTGTTATTCATTCTTCATTGATGGACATTGTGAATAATGCTGCGATAAGCAAGGTGTACACGGGCAAGTTACTTTTAAGTCAGTCGTTTTTCTACCCCAATCCTGAGCCTCCAGCTTTGTTCCTGACTCAGAGGAGGGATTCCCCAACCACCCGGTGTCTGGGCCAGACACCAGAGAGAAGAGATTAATTCTCCCTCTCCTCTCACAAGCACCAAGCCAGCCAAGTCCCAGCCCTCCCGCCACTGCAGTTCACACGCATCTCTGCCATCGCTTGTCAGCTCATCATGGGTCACCCGAACTTCAACAGCCTCTCCATCAGTTTCCTGGCTCATAGTCTCCACTTCCAATGCCTCCTCAATGTCATAGCCAAAACCCCAACCCTGTCCCTGGCTCACTCCCACATTTCCTTCAAGTGCATGTCCAAGTGTGCGCATCTAAGGCAGGCTGCCCCAATCACTCCGCTTCCAAACACAGCCCACGCCCTTCCCGGTCCTCCAGATCCCTCCCTGCTTCATTTTCTCCATAGGGCTCATCACCGCTCATCACAGTATAGATTT